TACTCGATCCCTCCTTAACTCGATGGAAATCTAAAAATCAACTTTGGAACTTCGTATCTCGATATCCCTGCCTCACTCGATGGTCCCTTCAATATCGGTCTAAAAAGGGTTGACTGTATTTTGAAAATTTTAGTTCTATTTCAAAGTACGCATTCGTACGGCTCAAGAGTCATTTGTGTTCTACGGGTTTAGCTTCAATCAAACCAACTACAGTGAACTCACTACAACTCGACATTGAAGGGCCCATCGAGTTATAGAATTATCTGATTAAAGAACAACAATCCCGTACAAAATAGCTATTACAGTAGCCATGAAATTGATTTATACTATGGTTCTTAAACTCGATAATTCTATAACTCGATGGTCCCTTCAATATCGAATTGTAGAGAGTTCACTGTAGTTCGTTTGATGTTAAATCCGTAGAACTCAAATGACCCTTGAGCCGTACAAATCCGTACTTTCAAATAAAACTAAAATTTTCAAAATATAGTCAACCCCGCTTAGCTCGATATTGAAGGGACCATCGATTGAAGTAAGGGATATTAAGATACGGAGGTAAATTGAGAAAATTTGGATGGTAAAATTGTTTCGAAGTTGATTTCTAGATTTGACATCGAGTTAGGGAAGGATCGAGTAAGGGAGAATCGACTGCAAATTTGAATTTGCGTGTAACATTCGTTTACACGTATTCGAGCCGTTTTGAATTCGTTCGTTTTCCCTTTAGATCGAATTTCTTCGATCGTTGAACACCGGTTCGAGAGAAGAAAAAAAATGACAGCTTTCAACGATTCGTACGTCCATGGTACGCCGCTTCCGAATGCATTCGTTTGCACCAGGAAAGTAAGAGTTTCCTAGAGAGAATCACTGGCTTGCTTTCTAATTCTTCTTCTCGGCTTTTTACGCTGCTTATGACCAGAGAAGTCGAGAAAATTTTTGGGTCTGGGATTCGAAAACCTACCGACGTTTGCTCTCTAGGTTTGAACCTAACGTTTGAACGTGACGAGCAGTTTCACGTCAATGAATTTAAACTCCTTATATGACTCCAAACGATTCTATTACTCAGTCGGTTCAGTTTTTACGCATCCAATCGGAGCTTAAGGCCCAAACGCAATGTTGGTAGAAGCGAAACGGAAACGGCAAGTTTGACAGTTGTCACAAACGACATCAAGCTGCCTAACCGAAGTCGATTTCGTTCTAACTTGGTTTCAATCCGACAAGTAGAGCCTTTCCGCTGCCGCTGTCATTGCACTTGGGCCTTCACACTCGGCAGATAACGTTTTTCACATTCTCTCGGTTTCTCGCCTGTTTCGCTGCTACTGCATCGTCAATTCAGACGCGATCTACGTGAAGCGTCGCCTGCTTGGAAGAATCGTTCAGCAACTGAGTAATCGATCAAGGGAAATGCAATTTTCCCAAATCTAGGCCAGGAATTGTATGGATTCACCACCGCTACTCGGTATTCTTCATCAGTCGATGGCTCTTTCTCCAATTTGCAACCAGTCGATTGATCCTTACTGGATGTTGAAGGGACGATCAAGTTCGGTAGGGTGGAATATTTTATAAATTTATTTGGGGAAAACAATGAAGGTATCCATAGACCTACTGAAGTGTTTATCTCGGATTTGCGACTAAAACTACGCGATGAAACTGATGACGGCTAGAACCTATCATTGCTCGCCTGTTATTTTTGACGAATGATGCGGTAGATGCATTCGAAGTGCATTTACGATTGGTTTGAGATTGGATTCTGGTTATCCTAAATAACTTTGTGATCAGAATCAGAGAGAGTGTGTAGAAATCCGCAGAAACACAGGAATTCAATAGGCCTTTCGGCTCAACGAGTGTACCTTCTCAGTCAGATTGGAGTGATAATTTATTAAATGATGAGGAAAGAGAGAAATCTATTCCAGCTGTGTGATGATCCATGGGATTCACTATTTAACTATATCCTTAAATTTGAATACCGTAATGCATCGAAAACCGGACACTTAGTCCGTAAATCCAGACACGTTTAAAAGTTGATTATCATTGTTCAAAATAGCATGTAAATTGGGGTGAGCTTTTATTTGCGAGGAATCGGAGACTAAAGCCATTCTTTAGAAAAGCAATTACGCCCCTTTGATGGTTACTTGGGTCGATTACCGTTTTTTTGTATTAGGGTAAGTGTGCCAGTGTTTGGCCCTATCTGAAATTTCAATTTTATTCATTATTTACTAAATTTAATTCGATGCTAGATTAGAACAAAAAATTTGCCATAATCTACGCTAATCAAACCATGAATATTTATTATCATTGTTCAAAATAGCACGTAAATTCAATCGTGGCCTTATGTCATCGTTCATACAAAGTAGACGTAATACTTAATTAAAAATGCAATGTCTGGATTAGACTGTCTGGTATTCGGATCATTACGGTATTTATAGACATTTGAAAAAAAAAATCCCAAGCTCAACTTGTCAAGTATTAGTACAAGACACTGAAAATGTCTGCACATTATAAACGTAATACGCGTATCTGTCAAGGATAAGCTAATAAGGTAGTGGAATCAAAAGAAAATTACTAATCCTACTCTCTCTCTCTCTCTCTTTATACAGGTATTCCACTAAGAGGCCCACATTCATCCAATTCTGAATCTGAACTCATTCGTATGAAATATTCAGGTAAATTTTCAGTTAATTTCTTTGAAAGGCTCAATCGCGGGAGCTTCCCGGAGCCGTGGTGCCTTTTACTGATCATAGTTTTCTTAACTATAGATTTCTTGTTGTTGTTGGTTCTTTATTTAGCATACTATCAGCCCAAAAGCTGGTTCACCTCCGGCAGCTTAACTACACATGTCCAGTTGAAGTCAAGAGTAAAACTTCATTAAAAATGAGCCATCGAACTGAATAATTTTAATGGCTTCAATTTGAAATGTTAGTCTTGAACTATCTCTTTCGCTTCTGTCGCAGGAATTAGCTGCAACTTGACTGTAAGTGCAATCAAGCTTGCTACTAGGAACTCGATTTCCTGCCAAGGTGAAGGTCGTTCCTAAACATGATGAAACTATGGCATATTTCTAGGCTTTTACGAAGATTTTTTGTTGGAATGTGTGATCATTGTCATACGCTGGAAATGAGAATTATCGATTAATAAAAACTAACTAAGAAGACTCCAGAGGTTTAACTGAACTGACGCAACCACTCAAGTCACATAAAAGCTCCTTGATAAACCTACTGCGACAAGTGTGCTACTTTAAATTTCGAAATCGGACACCGCAATTCAATGTTAGGAAATAGATATTGAATTATCCTTTCGCCACAATCATTCAGTGGCAAACAAAGTGGATACCACCCATGGAATAGGATTTGGGTGGTTTCATGGTACTTATGTTGAGCAGCGATCTTGACCGTGCCCTCTTGGTAGAAAGGTCAAGTTCACTAAGATCTGTCGATTGGATGAGGCATGTTCAATCGGCATGGCATAGGTTGCAATCAATTTGAGTTCGGAGCCAAATATCAAGACAGAAAATCCTCGAAAGAGTCGGATTTAATTTCCATCAGCTGTAATTACTGTTCCATGGATTTCCTGATTCACAAACTGAATTTTGTTCATTTCGATAGTCAGACTTTTATTAGGGCGAAACTGCCTTTGGAAACAATAGCTTCAACCACCGATTTATCGCAAATCAAAGCTCACGTCTGCAAACTATCCAAACCAGCTGGCGGATGAAACATTTCCCTACTTGGTGGCGTTATAAGTTTGCATACTCCAAGTAACAATGCAGAGGTTTTATAGCATTCTACAAGTCCAAATCATGGTCTACGGAACCTTACTAAACTAAAATTGTTACTTGGGATGCGAGCTATTATTCGCGGGAAATCGAAGACTAAAGTATTTGTTTACAAAAGCAGTTTCGCCCTTTTGAAATTTTGATGAAGATTCGTAAAGATTTTTGAAATTTGGTTCAGATTTCGAGTGAATTATTGCGAGCGCACATGCAAGTTGAACAAGGTTCTGAAGAATATCTATTGATATGCATCATATATTTAGAGCACAGTCAACTCACTTTTAAACTCGATTTTGAACTATAGTTTTCAAGTTACGAAAGTGTATCCAAAGCTTTATATGGCAGGAGTGATCGAAATAGTCTGTTTTTCTAATCGAATTAGAGAAAATATCAAGCTACAGAAAATCAAGCTAGGGAGATTTGACTGTGTTTATTCAGATCAAATAACAAATCTGAGGACAAGCACTTGCTGGGATTTTCGTAATATTCCAGAAAATCATGTTTAATTACGGTTCTAAGATTCCATAATTCAGTACCGCCTTGGCGAATATCCAGTTGTGCATTGTTAACTGTATGAATTAGCTTTGTTCACCTGGAGTCACACAAAGAATGTCAAAACGATCCAAGATCATACTCAGTCAACGTTCCACAACTCCATTTGGGTGGTCGCCATCGCTGTTGTAGAACAACAAATTCGTAATAAATCAGTTAAAGGGAAATCTTCTTTCGCGTTGTGGACATTGTTAACTGTAACTGAATATTGGTGATTTTTTTTAAGAACGTATAATTTGAGTTCCGAACCATCAAGTTTGACTGATCTTCGTTTAAAACTTAAATTGAACTTAATTGATTGCTTTTGCAAAAGAAAAATCACAAAATTTTGTTTAATACTGGAATACAGTACCTTCCCGTTTTTGACAACACAAGATTTTTATCTTCTTTGCCTGATTTCACTAGACCATTCTTCGGGGATCCTTTCTACTTGGAATTTTATGAAAAATTGTCCAGAAACCAGTAGCATAAATTTGAGAAAATAATTAGCTGATGAGGTCATGTTTCCAAAAACAGGAAAGCCCTGTAGTTGAAATCATATTTCACATGAAACATCAAAACATTCGATAAGTCTTTGCAATACAAAGCCCCTGAGCTCAAAATGCCGTTAACTGAACACAGCTAGCTTAAAAATCATTTAATCACATTTGAACAACAGCAGAACCACGGTTAAGCTACTCACCTAATATTCGCTAAATAATCTCCCGTCAATGGTGCTGGCCGCAAAACCTCCCAGCTTCTCACAGTCCGTTGCCCTTTCTCGGTTGCTCCAATTTATTGCCAAACTTCTATGTCTTACGTGTTCGTTACAATCACACTAACTTTTGTCGAAACTTGTGCGTTGTTCGTTTTCACTATGATTTCCGTTCCGAACTATTCCCGGATCACCACGAGTTGTTTCTTGTCGCTGATTTCCAATGAAAAAAAAAAAAATATTTTTCCGAAACTAATGCACTATTTTTTTGTTCTTCACTAATACCGTTAATTCCTGTAAAAAAAAAATTCAAAAAAATATCGAATTGTAGAATATCCGTTGCTGTGTATGGTTCTGATTTTTTTTTATTCCGAAAAAAATGTCACACTACATTCGAAAAGCGGTAAACTGTTTTCCCGGATTCAGCGCCTCGGCTAAGTAGGCGGCCAGTTATTTCCATTAGCAGTATTCAAAAAAAAAAAAAGAACTGTTAGATCTAGGTAGGCAGGCCCCGTCGCGGACCAAACTGCACGCACTTGCACACACTTTGACCACTGAACTGAAACTGAATCTCGGGAATGATGCTTGACCAGACCGGACCGCTAACTCTACTACTGGCTCGGCTGGCGTTCACGACCAAACTAAGAGAGGGCGCACAGATCTTCTTCACCACCTTCCCGGCAAGCCAGCAAGCCAACCAACCATCAGCCAGCCAGCGACACAGGGAGAGATATGTACAAAAAATCTTTTTTTTTTCCTTCTCCTATGTGTGTTGCAATTTCTTGGTATGTTCCCCACACACACTCTCTGTATAGCGCTCTCCTGCTTTGCCTGTGCAGTGCTGTCTCGTTCTCTTGCTCTTGTTAACAAAAATCCAAAAAACCACCGAAAAATTCACTTCTCTCGATTTTCCCTACAAAAAATTGCTTTTTCGTTGGTTTCTCAGTCACAAACGTCACATTGATTAAAAAAAAAAAAAAAAAAAAAATCACTCTTTTAAAAAATCTAGCAAAATTTCAGTACTTGTTCCTCCGGTTCCTGTGTGTCCCGCGCGCACTTGAATCGAAGAAAAAGATATACTACACACTATTCCCGAATGATGATGGTTTATAAAGTTGGTTGATGATGAGAAGATGATTGCTCGCGGTGTTCGTCTTCTTCGGTTCAAGTGTTTTATTCTACTAATGCTGTTTTTCTGCTGCTGCCCGCTTAAAAGAAGAAAAACTAGCGGGCTCTCGGTCCGTGTGTTTTCTTCTGCGCTCGTCGTCGTCGTCGTCGTCGGTTTGCTCTGCTCCACCTTCTTCGCTCCCGCGCCTACTACTGCTTGGAGATGAGCCACCGAGCCGCGAGCCGCGAGATTACACACAAGTTCGGCTGTCCAGCCTCACATTTCTTGCATACAAGCTACGTTTGCACGCTCTCCGCTCCGCTAATGGAAAGCTCGAGAGAGCGAGAATCACAGCCTCCTGCTACGAACGGCAAGATTCGAGACGGTGAGTGACTCCTACTAACCACACAACACTCCGGTGCACGCTTCTATCTGTGGGGGATATCCTGCGGGAGGGAAAACCTGCCGCCAATCGCCGGTGTCCGGTGGGTTATAATCTCTGCGGATGGAGATGGATAAAATTTTTGCACTACTACTGCACACACACTAGGCGTTCTGCTCTGACGGCGAACGACTCGAAATTTTCGGCCATCCCGTACCTGCTTTTATAGACCTCTCACTTGGCGAAAAGGGGCAAATCTTTCTTTTCGCACAGTGAGCTCCTTCGTCCAACCGATTCGGTGAGTAGCTTGCGCTTTGCTGGAAGCATTGGCGGCTGGTGGGTGGGTGACGAAGAGCTTGGGAAACATTTTTTTTCTGGTGGGGCCATGTCGTGCTGTTTGACCGTGTCTTCGTCACTCTTGGAATTTAGAAGCCGCTGCCGTCGTATGTGTCGTCGTTGTCGTATGTGTCGTCGTCGTCGTCAGCGGATACTCCGGGGTGCTTCAGGCAGTGGTTGCTTGGATTCAAAGTGGGAACTCAGCATTTTACAGGAGCGAAGTGGGACTCCAATGCTCCCGGTGGACAGTGGGAGCGATTTGGCGTTAGATCTATGTTTTCAAATTCGTTAAAGGTTTTAAAAGGTTATTTTTAATCCAATGTTGATTATGCCGTATTTAACATAAGTTTAGACACATGTCATTGACTTTTAACCGAAAATTCCCACTGATGCTGATTGCTATACTGTTAGTTCCGATTCTCGGACATTTTTGCCAATATTTGCACAGTCAGGCTGCCGGCAATCAAATTTAATTGAGATCAGCAGAAGTGACGTTTGATGGATGAGTATCGGTTTTTTTTTTTCTTCCGCTTGCTGAGATGTCAATGAAACTTCTTACTAAGTACTCAGCTATGCAAATCTTGGCAAACACTTGCCATGATGGGGAAAACAAAACTAACAAAAAGACTCGTTCCAATATCGTCATTCCGACTATATAGATGGTTGCTGTCTTCGGTAAAGTTGTTCAGATGGATGCAGTAAGTCAGAGTGACAGAGTTTCAAGCTGAAATCCTGCATTAGGTCCTAAGTAACATTGATCGATTCTCTTGAGCATGGGCATGAGCATGATTGACCACCCACGGTTGCTACTCTGTTATTGCCAGACCAGCTGTAATTACACAGAGAACCAATAGACGAGATGCTTGAGAGGACTAGCAATCATCCTCAATGTGTAAAAACTGGTGATCTCAAATTAGGCAATACAAGAAAGACAATACAATCAAGAAAGGAATGAGAAGGAATGTGTTGACGTGACACTCGCTTTGATGGAAGCCGAGGAGTCCTGTGCACTTCCACGAGGAATCACAGGGATGTTTCGAACCTTTTTCGAAAACATCAGCTGGGACGATGAACTCCGAGATCGTGATGCGAATGCTGCCTCTTCTATTTTCTCGAATATTGTCGTGTATGCGATCGACCAGTTTGTACCCATGACAACTCCACCCATATCTAGTAACCTTCCTTGGACCAACCACCGACTCAAGCGACTGAAGTCATCCAAACGAGCTACCTTGAAGACATTTTGTAAACTTCGAACGGATGCATCGAAGAGGAAGTACAACCTCGTTAACAAACAGTATAAGCGGCTCAACAAACAGCTTTATCAAGCCCATCAGCGCCATCTACAAACTAAACTCAAAGCAAATCCCAAGAGCTTCTGGAATCATGTGAACGTCAACGGAAGGAATCGGGCTTACCTTCTACAATGTACAATACGGATCTATTGGTGCTAGATTATTTGAAACACACACGCTCTAGTTACCGCGACTGAACAACACGAATTTATGCCGAAGAGGTTGACCGCTACAAATCTCGTTCAATACGCATCATTAATCATACGCGAGATGGAAAGAGGTCATCATATGTCAGTGAAGATTGGAGATCATTTTTCTCAACCGTTCGCTGTTTCTTCTGGTGTACCTCAAGGCAGTCATCTGGGACCGTTCATATTTTTAATGTATCTGAATGACGTTCACTTTTCGATCCGTTGCCATCCGCCGTCTTATGCGGACGGTTTCAAACTATACTTTGTATACTTTGCAGCTTGACGTTTTTACTGTTTGGTGTGACAAGAACAGAATGGTATTAAATGCTTCTAAATGTGCCATTATAACGTTTTCCAGGAAAAAATCACCTATCTGTTATGCTTACAGCCTGCAGCAAATATTAAGCCGTGAATCTACCATTAAAGACTTAGGCGTTCTACTTGATTCACAACTCACCTTCAAGGACCATGTGGCTTATGTTTCCGCTAAGGCATCTTCTAAACTTGGTTTCATTTTTCATTTCGCCAAAGACATTTTATGTTTAAAAACACTCTACTGTTCCCTAGTCCGCTCCACATTAGAGTACTGTTCCGCAGTATGGGCTCCTTTTTACACAATCGTATTGAAGCCATCCAGCGAAGATTTGTACTTTTCGCCTTTCAACCTCCCTAGATATGAAAGTCGCTGTAATTTGATGTCCGAGGCGTCTCTAAGGCTACCTTTACCGCTGATCTCCTACACTCGGACATTAATTGCGGTTCACTTCTGCAGCAGTTGAATGTCAATATCGGACGCGTAAATTTACGTTCTTATTATTTTTTCAACATCCCGGCTTCTCGCACAAACTACGGCGCTAATGAGCCGTTAACTAGCATGTGGGGTTACGGGTACGGTGAAAGTTACGATGAAGAGTGTCCAGGATTCGATCTTGAAGTTAGGGACAGTGAGCGGTTTTCGCGTTACGAGCATAAGACTTTGTAACGGTCTTTTTTTCGAATCTTCTCCATTGGTGGTGCAAGAAAAGATCCCCAGCAACGATTCAGTGTCAGAAAACCGGTGTTCACCGAAGTATTTGGACGACAGCTTTTTTGAGATGGACGGAGATATCGAGGAGTCAAGCCAAGCTCCGAGAAAGAGATTTCCATAGGAAATTTTGGAGAATTGTGGCTGCACCAAGCAATGTGACAAATTGGTCTCCAAAGATGACAGGATCAACACCAACATTTTTTTTTACACTGGATGCTTCGGAGCAAAAATGTTTCATACGAGCAAGGGTCTAGCGTAAAGCCGTGGAAAGACGTACCCGACATCGTTTCACCGACGATAAGCTCAGGAAGCGTCACTCGTATGATTTTCACATTCGAGCTGTGGCAAGTGACGAATCGCCAACCGTGTGTAGAAAGTTCTTCCTCAATACGTTGGGCTACGGGGAACACTTCGGGTAAGTTTTCGTTGATCATAGAACTAATACTAAATACTATCTACCGATACGCTGATGATGCTGTCGACGATGATGCTCTATCGAAGGCTCCCAAGCGAGGAAAATATGTTCGCAGCACTGGAACTGGAGCACATATCGATAAATACAAACCGATCATATCACATTATCGACGTGCGTATGCTCCAAATCGGCTGTATTTGCCATCGGATTTAACCATTTAATCGGCGTATCCTGAAGGATATGAAAATATCGATGGTAAAACTTGGACACGAGCAATGCGAAACATGTGTTTCGGCACTTCCGGACATACGACCGAGGCTGCACCATCAAACGACTCTTGTGCCACATGTAAGCAATACAGTGAACCGTGAGGATGGTGATGTCGTCAAATCTGGGCATGTTGCAGTGGCGGTTGATTTGCAAAAGGTATTTCTTATGAATAATTATAGGTGGTTGTGATTGTGAACTTACGCTAACCATTGTTTCCCCTTTAAATAGATCATTCAGCAGCCTCGTCTAGATGGATTGAAGACAGTTGTGTTCTCACAAAGGCTTATAGCCTTTAATGAAACCTTCGCTGCTGTCGTCTGATCGTCTAACGACCTAGCTGGGTGTTTTCATAGGATTATCACTAGATATAGCGGTGTGGAAACGCTTGTTTTGTGACTGGACAACTGGATTTTAATAAATTCAACGCAGTAAAAGCAGCGTAATGTCAGTTCATGCACTGTATTAATGATAATTTTGTCATTTTTGGCAAGTAATATTACACTATATTTTCGACACGATTGAAGTGTATCCACTTTGATGTCATATCAAAATTAATTTTTTGCTGTGTAATATTCAAAGGAAGGAGCCAAAATCCATTTTGGCTGAACATAAAACCAAATTTATCAAAAATACGTACTTTTGTCAATTCAAACCTGTCTT